AAAAACCCAGCACAGGGGGGTCGCGGCACAGTTGTGACGTGGTATAGTTGGATCAAGTATAATGATATCTGACAGTGATTAAAATCACTATCAAAAATAAACGCTTCGATGCAAATCTTTAGATAGTGTTTAATTTTAAAAAAATTGGTGTTTTATTCCAAAAGCTACTTGATTTGCTGGTTCCTTAATATCTCGATTAAGATAAAGTATGTCGAATGAAAAAGGGTTTATTAAAAAATATTATTTCTTATAAAAAATTGTGTGGATCCATAAACTTTTCAATAAGTTATAGCATTATAAAGTTAAATATAATGTGAATAATAAAATCGAGAATTTTCACACGAAAATAGCATTCGGTAGTCAATTTCGCCGTGAAAAAAAGTCCAGAGGTCAAATTTTTTTTTTCAAATTAAAGTATATTACATTAGCTTTAATTTAAGATATATATAAAAGTGTCAGACCTTCCGGAACATTTTCAAAAGTTAAGTTGAAAACGTTTTTCTTTCTATATGAATTTTTATGTTTTGAACTCACCCCGTATTAAGGGAAATGGTCCGATTTAAAAATACAGTATGTCGAATAAAATAAGGATATAAATATTATTTCTTATACAAAAATTGTATTGATCCATACACTTTTCAATAAGTTATAGCATTATAAAGTTAAAAATGTAAAAAATAAAACCGAGAATTTTCATACAATAATAGAATTCGGTAGCCATTTTTACAATGAAGACAAAATAAAGTCCGAAATTTTTATTTTCCATAATAAAGTACATTACATTTAAAGTGTCAGGTAAAGTCTCAGATTTATAAAAAAAATATACCAAATGAAAGTTAATGATATAATGCATCTATATAAAAAAAACAATATTAATTTGTTCATTTTTGAAAAAGTTATGGCAGTTTTAAGTAAAAAAAATTGAAAAAATTCGTAAAACTAGTGATTTTTAAATTTTAAATTTTTTTGGAGGTTTCCACCATTTATGGGGAACGAGGGACATTTTTTCAATTTTTGAGGGTAATGTCTTTGACTAGATTCTATTTGTGATCTTTTGACGTATCATTGAAAGAAATCCGTTCGGTGATGGCTGAGAAAAAGTGGTAACAGACACACAAAAAAAAAACATATCATAGTAAAATTAATACCTTCTCAGCTTCGCATCGAAGCTAAAATATAGTTCTTTATGTATTGGAGAAGTATAATCTTATGACTGGAAAAATATTTTATATTGAATCGATAATGGAGAGAATATATTGAAAACAGTTATATTATTAAAATCACTATTTAATCACTAATTTATAATCACTATTAAATCACTAGCTGTGTTCCGGCCCCGTACGCGCGCCACCGCGTCGGCCACCTCCTGGGTGGTGAATTTCTCCACCGACACGTCGTCCCCGAATGCAGGGGAAGGCAGAGGCGGGTGTGTCGGAAAGAGCGTGTCTACCGCCCTTTCCAGTACTTCCGCCTCCAGCTGACCAGAAGCCGGTGAACCGCGAAGCTTCTGCATAACGACCCGGTAGGATTTCCCCCACGGGTCGTGGTCCACCGACTTCACGAGTTCGGCCCAGCATTTCGCTTTGGCCCGCCTGATGGCGAGCTTCAGCTCTTTGCGGGCCGACCTCAGCGTCTCCCTCGGGTCCGGGGATTCCGGGTCCCTCGGCCAACGGTTGGACCACGTCATGGCCCTCCTGACCCTGACGCACTCCTCACGCCTGGCCGCCACCTCGCCATTCCACCAGTAGACTGGCGGTCCGCGAGTCGACGGCAGTCGTTTGACCGGAAGAGCGAAGTCGCAGGCTGCGGCCACCCTCCGGTCCAACTCTTCCGCCGCTTCATTCGCGAAGACGTGTCGGTCCGGTACCGCAGGCGCCGACCATTGAGAGAGAAATAAGCCCGTTTTGAATGTGTTGCGCCATGACACTCCTAAATTAACGGTTGGCGTCAATAGCTTATAAGGATCATGTGGACCGATAATACTTAACCTAAAATAAAGTACATAACCTTTAAATAATTAATTTATATATTTAAAACGCAATTGTCGCCTTATGAGCTAAGGGATATAACAAATACTCTCTCTGGTGTTTGGATACTACTTGATGTTTAGCTGAGCTGCCTCTTTATGGATCACATGAGCTGTACATTGACATGGTTATCTGAGCTGATATTTNCTCTTTATGGATCACATGAGCTGTACATTGACTTGGTTATCTGAGCTGATATTCTCTATTTCATTGAATCCTCTGCATAGGACAGCAGTGCATTAAAACTGTAGAATAGTGTCTACATTGTTCATAGCAACAATGTGGTTTTGTTTGAGAGCACAATTATGAACAGAGCACTGTATGAGCTTACATAAAAACCATCTACGGTGTGTAGAAGTACGTAGAGCACGTTAAAACAATGCATGAGCTTGCAGGTTAGAGAGAACACTCACATATTTAAAAACCACAGAAACGTTAAATTGTACTGACAACAGCAACAGCAGCTGATAACAACGGTACAAGTGGGTGTTGCACCATATCCAGTATTACCAATTAAAGGTTAACATATACTAAATTGATAGCTCTTTTATGGGGCTCAAACATACTCCCCCTTGGAAGTCCTAGTTAGAGTTACAACAGTATTTGAGCTTGGACCATGATTCACTAGTAGAGACAGTGGAANCATGATTCACTTGTAGAGACAGTGGAGGTTGTTGAGAAGTCTTCACACACCAGATGAGAGTTTCAGGGGGGGAATACAAACATTATATAATATTAAAGACTGCAACATACAAAAAAAACAATATTAAAAAAAATCATAATAGGAACAATTTAATATTTCAACATTTTATCTTATAGGAACTTAAGTTACATATCAGACTCTGTTTTTTCACAAACAATTAACATCAACATAATTAATAAATAATCTGTATAACAACCAAAATATAGGTAACAATTTAAATAATTAATAAACAATTTAATCTAGCAAGTAAAATCATACAACATAAATACTTAACAAAGTAGCTATATAAAACATAATGACCTAAATAACAATTTATTAAACATATCAGACAAACCATTATGTAGTAGCATCACGCAATGGTAGCTCTTATAAATTTCTCTCTCTATTGTAATAAGTAAAAAAATCAATAAATCAATTAATAAGTTTCCTTTGTAAAGTGTAAGGCACAAGGAAAAAAAGGAATATCTAAGAATAATTAGGACTATATAGAGTAAGTATTTAACTAGGAGCTTAGTTAAATATAAAGCAAATGATCTTATAAACATTTTTTTTTCTTTTTTTTAATGCTAATTAAGCTAAATCAAAATTAAAAATAATGATTTCGAATTTAATTGGTAGGTAATAAAACTAATTTAACTACTGGCCTAACAATTACTCCCTGCTTGGTGAGCACCCAGTGTCTTATCCAAGCAACAACACAAAGTAAATGTATATAAGAAGAAAATCCACTATACCATTCAACCTGGACTGNAAAATCCACTGTACCATTCAACCTGGACTTGAATGTTGAAGGATTGAACATTAACTTGTTGAATATCGGGCAACAGACTGGTTGGCATAGATTCCCAATGTAAATTCCATTCAACTACTGGTTTCTTTAAAAAAGCTGGACCCTTCCAATATAATTTATGGTTAGGAAGTTCAGATGGTGACAACCCACGTGAAGCACAGTCTGCAGGGTTTTCCTCTGAATAGATATGAGCCCAATGACAATCAGGGAGCAGCTTATGGATTTGATTGACACGATTTGAAACAAATGGTTTTAAAGAAACATGTGGATTGAGCAACCAAGATAAAACAATTGTTGAGTCAGACCAAGCATAGACATTAAGAGAACCTAAATGGGTTTCTAAAATTTTCTTAAGACGCGCTAACCATATTGCTAATATAACAGCACCACATAACTCTAGTCTAGGGATTGTAGAAGATTTCATTGGAGCCAGTTTTGTTTTGGACCCGAGCAGGTATAAATACACGTTCTGAGCAGAATCCATTACTCTAAGATAAGCTACAGCAGCATAGCCCTTTTCAGAAGCATCACAAAATCCACAAATAACATAAGAATTTCCCAGTGCAGCTCCAATGTACCTAGGGACTCGGATTGATGTTATACAGCCAAGGGAACTANGGACTCGGATTGATGTTATACAGCCAAGAGAACTGACAAACTTATACCACTCTTCAGCTATATCTGTCGTCAACGGATCATCCCAAGTTAACTTTGCCTTCCACAGTTGCTGCAATAAACATTTGGCATAAAATAACATAGGAGCCAAAAACCCTAAAGGATCAAAAATCCTAGCAATTACCGAAAGTACTCCTCGCTTTGTGGGAACACACTTTATAGCACTTATATCATAAGTAAAGCAATCGGTATCAGGTATCCATTCCATGCCTAAAACATGAATTCCATCGCCACGATCAAAAGCCAGAGGATTGCATGCACAATCTTCATCTAATAAGTCATCCAAGAGGTCCACACAATTACTTGACCACTTCTTAAGTGAGAGACCAGCTCTTGCCAACACTTCTATTAAATTATTTTTTAAAATTTTAGCAGCTACAATTGATTCTGCACCAGCACAGATATCATTCATATATGTTTGATAACGTAAAGTTTGTTGAACTGCAGGAAAATCATCACACTCATTGTCAGCAATATGTTGTAATACTCTTAGAGCTAAATATGGAGCACAATTTACACCATAGGTAACAGTGTGAAGTGTATATTCTTTTACCTGTTCATGGGCATAATCCCTCCACAAAATGTGCTGATAACCATGGTATTTATCATGAAGCCATATTTTCCTATACATTTTGCAAATGTCAGTGGTAAAAACAAACTTATGAACCCTAAACCCAGTTAACACATCTATGATTTCTTGCTGAAGTTTAGGCCCTACATACAACCTATCATTAAGTGAATATCCAGCCTGACATTTTGCAGATGCATCAAAAACCACTCTTAATTTTAGCTCGTCACCCACTAACTTATGAACTGCATGATGAGGGATAAAATAATCACCGGACTCTTCTGAACGTGACATGTGACCTAACTCTTCATATTCTCTCATGAATGCTCTATAAGCATTGTGCAGTATTGGGTCGCGCAAGAGCTTGCGTTCTAGCTGATAAAATCGCCGCAGAGCAACTTCATGCATACCAGGGAACAATCTATCTGAGCTGTCAGAGCGAAAAGGTAAAGGAACAAAATATTGACCTGCATAATTTCTGTACATCTCTGAATTAAAAATAGTTTCACACTGCCCATCTTCAGTGAAATCAAGAGGAGCTGCTGCTGGTTCTTCAATATTCCAGAATCTTTCCATCAATGACTCAATAGAAGTAGATAATGTAACGGCTAATGATTGAGGGAAAATTTCTAATGATTGCTGAACAGGACCAATTAGGACCCATCCGAATACCGAGCTGTAAGCGGATGGTAGACCAGGCCCTAACTGAATATTATCATTATTCCATATCTGTGGGAATATATCTGCACCTAAAAGTAGATCAACAGGAGCTGGTGTATCAAATGATGGATCGGCCAGAGATAAATGTTTACATTCAGCCCGAACTTGAGATGGTAACTGTTGAGATGGCATATTTGTAGTTATTGAGCTAATAACCCACGCTTTAATTTTAATTTTAGGAGACTGTATATCTTTTGGTCCAATAAGTACTTCTACAGAACCACTTATATCTGGAATCTTTTGGCTAGATAAACCAGTAACAGGAATAGTCCAACGAGATGGCCGAAAGCCGAGTTTGTTACAACAATTTAATGTTAGAGCGGTGATCTGAGAGCCAGGATCAATTAAAGCTCGAATTAAGTGATTATTACCGGCTATGTCCTGAACACAAATTATGGCAGTACCTAATAGTATAGAAGGTATTTGAAGTCTTCCTAACATGGCCGCTTGGGATGGTCCAGCAACTGGTTGTGACCGAGGCTGGTCTCTGTGTAAAAGAGCATGATGGCGACGGGAACAGATCGAGCATGCTGATGGACATTTATACGACATATGACCCTCAGCAAAACAGACAAGGCACAATCTATGTTTACAAGCAATATCATACCGTTCATCAATAGACAGCTTATTAAATTGTGGACAATCTTGAAGAACATGGTAAGCTGAGCAGCAAAAACATTTACCTGTGCTGGCTGGTTTTTGTATAGGGAGTCGCTGACCCTTAGCAGTTGAAAGGAAAGCAACACGTTTCTCATGCTGTGACTGGTAATTCGGTTTTTGAGCAAAATTACCAACTGGTTTTTTAGAGACCCCTGAATTAGAAGGAGCTATCCCGGCATTTTCTAAAATTTTGATTCGATTTTTAACAAATTTAATGATATCCTGAACCACTGGATACTCTAGACTATTTTCTGCTTCAAATAACCGTCTACTATGAGTAGGTAAACACCGAGCTGCAATAGAAAATAGAAGAAATGAACCGAGATCTGGTATCCTCATGAACAATAGTGTAGCAATACCTTCATCAAATGTATGAATAAACTGTCTAAGGCTAGCAACATTTTCTGAAGTGCCAATAGAGGCTTTTAACATATTCTCAATAATGCTAGCAGCTAGTTGCCTAGGTTTATCATATTGATCAACTAATGTAGACCAAGCAATAGCATAGGTTTCATCTGATACAGTAATCCCTTTTAACAATTCAGAAGGATCCCCTTGGAGACAGCTTAACAAATAATAGAATTTGTCAACATTTGAGAGTGTAGGTCGCTTATCGACTAAGGACTTGAAACGGTCACGAAAATCTGGCCAATTGCGTAGTTCGCCATCAAATTTTGGTAAAGGCATATTGGGCAATTGAGAATTGCATGCAACTATTTCAGAACCAGCATTAGTGGACATTGTAGAAAGCACATCCAAGACAGGGGGGTGCACAGGAAGTTCAACAGATGATTGGTCTAATAAGTTTGCAGAAAGCACAGGAACACATGCTGAATCAGCTTTAAGGGCAATAGCTTTAATTTCAATAATTTCTTTATGCACAGCCAATTCTGTGTTATGAGAAAATTCATCAATCTCCCCCAAGTCTATCATAGCATCCAACAATGCATCATTTTCAGTAGAAAAGGACTTCCACCAGNTCAATCTCCCCCAAGTCTATCATAGCATCCAACAATGCATCATTTTCAGTAGAAAAGGCCTTCCACCAATAGTCTAGATCACCTATAGCTACCTTTAAATGTCTGTATTGATCAAGGTCTTCTTTTACACCCACAGCCAAATTATAAATGCAGTGAATATGAGCAGCAGCAGCATCTCTTTTAGCTGTGGCACGTTGCTTAGCTCTTAAGTCTCTTTTATCATCAGCCATGATAAATAATAAAATGTGAAAAAATAAAAAATTTATAAAATAATAAACCGCTAAAAGAAATCTAGATGATTATAAACCAATAAAGACTATATAGACAAGTAGAACCAACTAAAATTACTTAAATCTCTAAAGTGATTAAACAATCACATTAAAAAAGAAAAAAACCAAAGACAAAAACTAACCAATAAAGGCAAAACCAACAAAATATTCAACCAATAAAAACCAAACTGATTAATCAAATCAAACAAATTATAATGACCAAATAATATAAAATGGTTCAAGAGTGATCCAACAATAAATTGTGCGAGCAACGCTCAAAGCACTCACCAAGCAAAACACGTTTCTTTAAACCATAAACTTAACTAAATTGAATCATTAAGTTAACGTATAAATAAATAATAACCTTAATTAATACTTCACTGTTCAATTAAAATTAATAATAAAAAAGCATATGTATGCTCCCCTTATAATAAAAGTCAAAAAATTAACACCCCAAACCTTTTAAGGTTAAGTTTCAATTTATAGAGCTAACACAAAAAAAAATTAATATATTTTTTATAACTGTAGAGCAACAAAAAGAAGGAGCTTTATTGAGCAATAAAAGGAAAGAATAAATATAACAAAGATATTACCTTACACTTCGTAGAATTAAAGAATCCGTAAAAAAAAATATAACCACGCTCTGCTACCAATGTTGCGCCATGACACTCCTAAATTAACGGTTGGCGTCAATATCTAATAAGGATCATGTGGACCGATAATACTTAACCTAAAATAAAGTACATAACCTTTAAATGATTAATTTATATATTTAAAACGCAATTATCGCCTTATGAGCTAAGGGTACAACAAATACTCTCTCTGGTGTTTGGATACTACTTGATGTTTAGCTGAGCTGCCTCTTTATGGATCACATGAGCTGTACATTGACATGGTTATCTGAGCTGATATTTTCCATTTCATTGAATCCTCTGCATAGGACAGCAGTACTTTAAAACTGTAGAATAGTGTCTACATTGTTCATAGCAACAATGTGGGCTTTATTTGAGAGCACAATTATGAAGAGAGCACTGTATGAGCTTACATAATAACCATCTACGGTGTGTAGAAGTACGTAGAGCACGTTAAAGCAATGCATGAGCTTGCAGGTTAGAGAGAACACTCACATATTTAAAAACCACAGAAACGTTAAATTGTACTGACAACAGCAACAGCAGCTGATAACAACGGTACAAGTGGGTGTTGCACCATATCCAATATTACCAATTAAAGGTTAACATATACTAAATTGATAGCTCTTTTATGGGGCTCAAACAGAATGCGTCGACGTCCGTGGCTGGTCTCGCCCACCGCGAGACGTCTCGCGGGGTACGATTCGGGGGGGACGGCCGCCGCCGCCGCACTCATACACGATCTATCGGTGGTCGCTGAGGTTTTCCCTATGCGGGAGAACCGACCAACCGGACACGTGCGAGTGTAACGACGGGGTCACCAGCGTGACGTCCACCACCGAGCTCGAGGAGTGACCCTCGAAGGTCGGGGTAGAGCTCCTGTTGGCCGAGACCAGCCCGAGGGCCGACATCAGGTCCAACAGGTCTTCGCCACGCTGATTCGTGTCCGCCGACCCCCAGACCGAGGAGTGGGCGTTGAAATCCCCGGTCACGATCTCCCCGCGGCTGTCCCGCGGCCGCCCGAGTCTCCTAACCCGTAGGCATGAGGACAGGGGCTCAAGGAGTCCGGTGATCGGCAAGCTGGGCGGCGCGTAGCAGCTCAAGACGTCGATGCCGTCTATCCTCGCTACTACGTAATCGTCGCCCGACTTGATGTCCGCGACCGTTAGGCCGCGGTCCATCACGCCGATCGCCGCTCTGCCGGACCGGACTAGAACCAGCCGGCAGAGTCCCTGACTGATCCGGCGTGCGGGTCCGAAACGATGCACACGTCAGTGCCCATCTCGTACGCCGCTCGCCGGACCAGGTCCTGGGCAGCCCGACAGTGGTTGAGATTCGTTTGAAGGAACCCCTAGAGACCCCTCGGCCTTCCCCCCTATCTTCTTCACCGGAGGTGCTTTTTTGACAGGCCCCCCTTTTGGCTTCAGGACTGGCCCCACACCCGGACAATCCTTGGCCTGGTGCCCCTCCTTTTTACAGGAGAAGCACCCCTTGGATTTGTCCGGGCCCTTGCAGGCCTGGGCCACGTACCCGTGCTCAAGGCACCTGTAGCACCTCGGACCCTTGTCTCCAAGGATCCTCAGCCTACAGGTGATCCACCCCACACGGATACGGGCGAGACCTGCGAGGCGGGTGCCAGCCTTGGCTGCACCTCCACCATGGGCGTAACGCCCTTTGCCGCCGGAGTTCGCACGGACCACAACGGGCCCGATTTCCGGCGGCACCTTGTCCTCTGGACGGCGGAGGCGTCCAGAAGTGCACTCTGCACGTCGCCCTCCTCCGTCCATTCCTCCACGTCCAGGAGCATGACGGCCACTGTCATCACCGGACGGTGGACGCGCACGTCATGCTCCTTCAGGGCGCCCTTCAGGCTGTCAGCTAGGCTTTTAGTTAGGTCCGCCTTTTTTTTTCCCTCCTTCTCGTCTTTAATGTGGACCGCCCTGGAACTGCCATTAGGCATTGCTTCAGGGCGGCCCACGTCGCCTTCGCTGCTTCTTACCACCGCGCTGTGACCCGGCCCAAGTTTACACTAGGGCCGAATTCCAGCGCAGCGTAGCCTCCCCCGTTAGCCGGACCTCACTAGACACAATCTCCCACATCATTTATGTTTACATCAGCCTTCCTCATATTACGTAGTGGCAAGGATAGACGGCATGGACGTCTTGAGCTGCTACGCGCCGCCCAGCTTGCCGATCGCCGGACTCCTCGGGTCCGTGTCCTCCTGCCTACGGGCCAGGAGGCTCGGGCGGCCGCGCGACGGCAGAGGGGAGCTCGTGGCCGGGGATTTTAACGCTCACTCCCCGGTCTGGGGGTCGGCGGACACGAATCAGCGTGGCGAAGAACTGTTGGACCTGATGTCAGCCCTCGGGCTGGTGTCGGCCAACAGGGGATCCACCCCGACGTTCGAGGGTCACTCCTCGAGCTCGGTGGTGGACGTCACGCTGGTGTCCCCGTCGCTGCACCCGCACGTGACCGGCTGGTCGGTTCTCCCGTACAGGGAAAACCTCAGCGACCACCGGTACATCGTGTACGAGTGCGGTGATGGCGGCCGTCCCCCTCGAGCCGTGCCCCGCGTGCCGTCTCGCGGCGGGCGAGTGGGCTGGCGAGTCGGACCTACCACGGACGTCGACGCTTTTGAGACGGGCTTATTGCTCGCTCAATGGTCGGCGCCCGCGGTACCGGACCGGCGCGTCTCCGCGAGCGAAGCGGCGGAAGAGTTGGACCGGAGGGTGGTCGCAGCCTGCGACTTCGCCCTCCCGGCCAAACGACCGCCGACGACTCGCGGACCGCCAGTCCACTGGTGGACCGAGGAGGTGGCGGCCAGGCGTGAGGAGTGCGTCAGGGTCAGGAGGGCCATGACGCGCTCCAACCGACGGCCGCGGGACCCGGAGTCCCCGGACCCGAGGGAGGCGCTGAGATCGGCCCGCAAAGAGCTGAAGCTCGCCATCAAGCGGGCCAAAGCGAAGTGCTGGGCCGAACTCGTGAAGTCGGTGGACCACGACCCGTGGGGGAAACCCTATCGGGTCGTCCTGCGGAAGCTCCGCGGCCCACCGGCTTCCGGTCAGCTGGAGGCGGAGGTGCTGGAAAGGGCGGTCGACACGCTCTTTCCGACACATCCGCCCCTGCCTCCCTCGGCGTTCGGGGACGACGAGTCGATGGAGGAATTCACCGCCCAAGAGGTGGCTGACGCAGTGGCGCGGGTGCGGGGCCGGAACACAGCTCCCGGCCCCGACGCGATTCCAAACCGGGTGTGGGGGTTGGTCCACGACCTCGCCCCGGAGTGGATAAGCGCCGTCGCTAACCGCTGCCTCGCGGAGGGTGAATTCCCCACGAGGTGGAAGAAGGCCAGGCTGGTGCTCCTGAGGAAGGGTGACAAGCCCGAGGGTCTCCCCTCGTCGTACCGACCGCTATGCATGTTGGACGACCTGGGGAAGATCCTCGAGCGGCTGCTCGTCACCCGAATCGAAGCCCACCTGGCCTCAGTTGGAGGACTGGCCGAGGGCCAGTTCGGTTTTAGGAGAGGGAGGTCGACGGACGACGCGGCCTCCCTCTTTAGGGACCTGGCCCTCAGAGCCGAGAACGGACCGGGCTTCGGGGTGGCGGTGAGCCTGGACATCCGGAACGCGTTCAACTCCGTGCGATGGTCACACATCCTCGGAGCGCTGGACGCGTTTCGGGTGCCTCCGTACCTCGGGCGGATGATCCGGTCGTACTTCGGCGACCGGGTCATCACATACGAGAGCGCCGCGGGCCCGAGAACCAGACCTGTGACGGGAGGCGTCCCGCAAGGGTCGGTTCTCGGGCCTCTGCTGTGGAACATCGCGTACAACGCGGTGTTCCGCGTTCCGCTACCACCGGGCGTGCGCATCGTCTGCTATGCGGACGACACGCTGGTGGTGGCGGAAGGCGCCTCGTCCGAGGAAGCTGGATCCCGGGCGAACTGCGCTCTTAGCGCAGTCACCGCCTGGATCCAGCAGGAGGGGAGCGGACTGAGCCTCGCCCTGGACAAGACCGAAGCGGTCCTGTTCACGGGCAGGTACAAGTTCGCCCCT